AAAACCTCTGTTAGATAAAATCAAAAAGTGGAATTGCTCGGTCAAACGATATTCACACATTAAAATTTTATTTCTCTGACTATAATAACACTTGAATATCTAAGAGTTGTTTCCCTACCCTCATCAACACTGGGTGTTAAGACAAGAACTTCAGTATCCCACCCCCCAAATACCTCTTATTGGCTAGAAATTCTTTCATTTCCCCCTTTCTCATGGTTGCTATATATGACTTGTAAATTCATTTTGTTTGGTGACGAATAATATGTACACAAAATAGACTTCCTATCCTTAGCCTAGCCCTCCATGTAAAAGCTTGATGTTGACTCTGAATATCTCACTTTCCCTCAGAGTCCTAAGCAACCTGTGATTCCATATATCAATCTTTAATTTTCACGAACAGAGAAAGGCACACAACCTAAAACTTCATTTAAGGTTAGGAGTACTTGAGAGAAGATTATTCTGTTGATGACTTTTATTTCCTTAAAGGACAAAAATAAAATTAAATGAGAACTATGAAAACTTCAAAGTCTGACTGACTATTGGGTACTGTGTTCCACAGCAAGCAGGAGAAAGAAAAGAGATAATGAGTTTCTAGAATCTTACACTCCAAGATGATGTCTGACGTGAAGAACCTAGACAAATTACACATAAAACCCAAGATTTTTAACAGCTGCTAAACATACATTTTTAACCAAATTAAGAAAGCTTATTTTGGAGGTGAGAATGCAGAAGCAACATAGCATTGCTTGAACCAAGAAAAGTTCATTATAAACTGTGGCCATAGCCAGTCTTCTATGGGGCAATGATGGTGGGGATGGTGATGACCATAATCACATTCTGGAATCCCCAAGCTAAAAATTGTTTAAGAGGAAAAGAATGTAAGGTTTTCTCTGAAGCACCCTGTCATTAAGAGACAGCTTGAACACTACGTGCACCTGTATCTTTAAGACCTACTGTGTTCTCTGTTCTTAGTCACTAAGTCGTGTCTGTGTCCGACTCTTTGGGACCCCATGGACCTCAGCCCCCAGGCTATTCTCCAGGCAAGAATTCTGGAGTGGGTTACCATGCCCTCCTCCAGGGGATCTTCCCAACCCAGTGATCAAACCCAGGTCTCCCTCCATAGCAGGCAGATTCTTTAACAACTGAGCTACCAGGGAAGCCCTTAAGACCTACTGCTGACACTAAATTTAGGTTCTATAAGAGTTTCTCTGGATTTTGTCAAGGTTAAGCAATGAGGAAGGCAGGATCCGCACCAGTGATGCTCTGAGCAAGGGCCAGGTCTAACAACACGGATATAATGGTTGCTCTGTCACTACTCACTGCTCATAATAAGACTTGGAGAAATCATCCAGTCCAAAAGCCTTTACGACAGGACATGTTGGGGCCAATAATCAACAGGTACCTAACAAAATGCTTTTAAGACACAATGAAGCATGACTTCAAAGGCTGTGATCCAGATCCCAAGGTTGGCAAGCAGGAAAGGATTGGTGCTAATTAAATATGACTAACTGGCTACACCAGAGGCAGGGAAGTGGTATTAATCACTACATATACAATGCTGTAATTAGCTTTTAAAAAACCAAGCTTTGTGCTTTCAAGGTAAGGAAAAAGTGACATTGGACCAAATGCAAGACACATCCACAAACTTCGGCCCTCAATCAAGTAGCTAGTTCCCAGTCACTATTTATATCTCTAACACTGTACGACAGTATAGTTTATATACTTAACTCAGTTTTTAATTCAGTTCTGACCATTCAACTTGAGTAAACAAAAAAATTATGTGAAAAAAGAAATAGGAAATTAAAGAGCCTATCTACCCAACAAGCTACTAAAATGTAGCTTTCTTTCTGTCTGATACACACATTACAAACTCATCGTGAAAATCAAATAAAATACATGTAAAGCAAATGGAATAACACTTATCATAAAGGCTCAATAAATACTACAATTTTTAAAAGCCAAGTTCAATAAACATGGGCTGTATATAACTGAAACTGTATATAAACTGGAAAAAACACAGTATTTTACACACACACACACACATCACACACACACCACACACACTGTGATGGGTCTAGCTAGCATAAAAATAAATTTTACAGTGCTCTATATAACCCATGCAGCATACAATCTATTATTAGTGACCTAAGGCACTATGCAGGAAGCATGCTGTCTCTCGCCTTTACTCCCCAAATAATGCTCCAAAGGAATTCTCATGTTCAACCCCACCTATCTCACAAACAAAAGGTGAATCACTAACTCTACCCAGAACAATTCTGGTCCTATTCATTCTCTTTCAATGAAATAAAAAGGACTTCCTGAAAAGCCGTCTCTTCCTACCACTCTGGAAGTTTGTAGCATCTGGTTAATANCTCACAAACAAAAGGTGAATCACTAACTCTACCCAGAACAATCCTGGTCCTATTCATTCTCTTTCAATGAAATAAAAAGGACTTCCTGAAAAGCCGTCTCTTCCTACCACTCTGGAAGTTTGTAGCATCTGGTTAATATTATAGATCACAAAAACTACAAAAAACCTCAGGAATGCCTCAGTCAGGTTTGCTCCTCTGCTCTATACAGCACAAGGAGATTCTGGGCACTTGATAACGTCTCTGAGAATTAAAAGCCAGTATTCATAAAATTACCCCCCTTTGCTGCCAAAGAACAATGGGACTTCAGTACTTTTCTCCTGTTACAGCACAACAGATAAGGCGTGACTTCAACATTAGCAAAATGTCAAGATCACTCCAAAGTGCACTTGTTCTACATCACCGTGAGGGCTGGTTAGCACGGTGTCACGCTTTGGCCAGAGACTGCCCCTAACTTCATTCAGCTGTTTGAAAATGAGAGCCAAAGGTAAGAAAACCTCTCAACTCTGAGAACAAAAAAAAATCCGAAAACAAATGCCCCAAATGTCTATGTCTCTTCCTCGTAATTCAAGAGAATTGGCACAGGTTATAAACTGAAGTTTACAAGCTGGGGACCTTGTCTTTTTTTTAATCAAGCAGTTAGTGAGCTCCCTAATTGAGAATATATTCAGAAAATGTGTTCAACATGACTGAATGATCATGTAGTCTATGTAATTTCCATGTTCAACAAAGGCATGTCTTGATAATTCCATTGCAATATACTCTCAGTCCTTGTGAAAGATGAAAAATATTTCACTAGTTTTTCCATTCCAAGCAATCTGTTAAAGGAAACCAACATTTCTTATAAACAGATTCCAAGCTATCAGGAGGGTAAATTAAAAATATACTTGCGTGTTTTGGATACATTTTTAAAACCATTTGTCAGATTCTCATTCTGGCAAGAGTCTTATGACTGGCCACATAACTTCTTGAGCTTAAAATGAATCTTTATATTCTAGTTTCTTCCAATTAAATGATAAATGCATATGGCTCTTCAGCATTTATTAGTTACCTGTATATTTAAGAAAATTACAAAATATGTGTTCATGTTTCATCCCTTTCAGTGAAAAGTAACTTACTTCCGTATTTTTTGAAATACCCCTATTTTTAGGTTAAATGACTGTTCCCACATTATCTGGCCTGATTATCTTTTCTTTTTCTTTTTTTATTATCTTTTCTAACAAAGGACCCTAAGTCACACAGAACATATTAATACTAACTCTCACCAATCTAAGCACAGTGCTCCCTAAAAAAACTAAAAAAAAAAAAAGCAATTATATATGATGTTAACTATTGAGGAGGATCAAGCTATCTCTGAAAAGATTTGTATCTCTGAAAAGATTTGGAAAAAAGGGATTCTAGTATCTTTGTCATACATTTCCTGTCTTAGAGGAAGGATCTCTGCGTCCATTTCTGAAAAGAGAAGTACAAGATACACAAAGGTCGGGGGGATTGTGGAGTGTTATGAAGACCAATCCAGGGTTTCAGGAAGTCTCCAAACGTGTTTGAGCCCAAAGAAGACAGTCTTAGATACAATATCGACATTCAGGACTAGAGAGGAAGGGACAATTTTTTTAAATAAACAGTTATTACATTCTATTTCCATACATAAACAGCTTTTAAGACAATCATAACTAGTGAAGGGTTGAATAAAATAAAGATTGTCAACAAAGCAAAAATTGAAGGAACTTCTTTAACAAGAGGGGACAAAAACACTGCATCGCCCCCACACCCACCACCCTAGACACAAGCTGCTCCCTGCCCACACCCATGCTCACCTGTTTTCTTTTACCTCAAAGATGCCCCCCAGTCTCTCAAAGGCTGAGTAAATGCCAACTCCTTCGGAAGCTTTCCTGACACTGAGGGTCAGTAACTGCCTGTTTTCTGAGTTCAAACATTTTGTTATACCTCTAAGATGCACCTACTACAGACAGCACTTAAAAAGAGCTTAACCTATGCCTAAATCTTACCACCACCAGGTGAAAAAGACCACCACCATTCTCCCCAAGCTACAAACCAGGGACTGAATTCACTTTTCATTCCATCAATGCACACAGCAGATGCAAGTGAGTCAGCAGTAAAGAATAAAACGTTTTCATCCCAGAGGCCCTCCGAAATAAATAAATAAATAAAAGGTACTGTATCTTGCAAGGTCAAGAGACACTTGTCTGGGAACCAGATCTGGGATTCCAGTTCTTGGACCCTAGTAACTCTACTTTTTTCTAGGGATCTGGAGAAGACCAGCACGTCCTAAAATGCTGTCTGCTGGACGCTGCTCTGCAAGATGCTAACAGATAACTTAAACGATTGGGAAAGTCCGGATTAAAACAAAGCCAACATGGTTACTTGACTGCATAACATGTGCAGGGCTTTAAAATGCTAATATAAAAATAAATAAATAAATAAAATAATAAAATGCTAACATAAACTATAAATTTTCAAGATAAGACTACATAATGAAGCCCTCAGTGAACTGATTTGAGCAAGATTGTTGAGTTTGGAAAATGCTTCAAAAAGGTTGCTTTCGTTTTGTTTCTTTCAACTGTCATAGTATTACTGAGAATATCAGATCAACTTCTAAAAAGTTCTTACCTGATGTGTGTTGCGGGCAGAGATTCGTATTGGCGCGACAAAAAGAGTTCCCTATGTTTCAACTGATGTTTCTGTTTATCGGTCAAGTCAGCCTCGACTGTTGTTTCAGATTCTTCCTCAATTTCTTCTGCACAAATAAAATTAAAAAAATGCATTATTACAAACTGTATTATCTATTTTGGTTATTAAGATAGACTGAATCAAGCTTTAATTCAATATTTTGTTCAAACTAACTGATTTTAAACTTACACATTTAACTTGTAATGTGAATTACAACCATAACATTTAGTTACCTAGGCCTCAAAGGAAGGACTCCAATTTTAAGATGGCAGATGAAACAATGCATATATCTTATGTATCTCCTCTTCCCCCAAGAAATCACACCAAAACAGCAATGAAAATATACTAACATTTCAATGACAACAAAAAATGAAGCAACAATGGAAGATTTTCAACAACAACAGTTTTAGAAGATAGAAAAGAGATGTTAAAAAAAATAAACTACACACAGTCAAGAGGAGGAAGTGACAATCTCTGTGTGTACAGAAAGGGATGCTGTGGAGAAGTGTGGCACAGAGCGTGTACTGACTCAGTTCTTGAAGCTACCAAGTATTGTGAGAAGGGAAAAGTGGGGTGAGATCAAAAAAGCAGGAGAAAAGCATCAAAAGTTTATCTATAACACAGTAACTGTATCCCAGAATACTCCATTTAAAAATAGTATAATCAGAAAACAAATCCTGTTAACACATTTCAAATTTGATAACACAAATGAAACTAATAGAAGAATTAGAAGACAACACTAATGAAATCTCCCCAAAATTAAGACAACTGAAAACCAAAAGATTAAAAAATTAAAGAAGAATGCATGTGGTCCAACATCCAACTAATAAAAGTTCCAGAGAGAAACGATAAAGAAAACAGATTCTCTAACATCTTTTTTCTGTGTGTGTGGAGGGGGAGTGGTGTAGGGAGGGGAGAGTGGGGATGAGGAAAGACTTATCAAAGAATGATTGAAGAAAATTTCCCCTTACTAAGTGTCCAGTAAGAATGAGTGTCCTGATTGAATTACCAGCATACTTAACTTTTTTTTAAAGTAATGGCATGAGAAGACTACCACCATTTACAGGGACAAAGTGCAAGCACACCAAAGAAGCCAGAATCTGCGTTGGAATCACAGATGAGCAGCAATACTGCATGCTAGGAAGACAGAGTAACGCCATCCAAGAGGAAACACGACATTCAACCTAGAACTACATGGTAAACTATCAACTCTGAAAATAGAGTAAGGTCAAACTTGCATTCACTGAACCAAGCCCACCTTTGAACAATGTGAGTTTGAACTTAACGGGTCCACTTATATCTAGACTTAAATACAGTATACTGGAAATTTTCTGGAGGTTTGCAACAATTGAAAATATTTACAGATGAACCCTGTAGCTTAGAAATATCAAGAAAGGACTTCCCTGGTGGCTCAGTGGTAAAGAATCCGCCTGCCAATGCAGGAGACACAGGTTCACTTGCTCCAAGAAAATCTCACATGCTACAGGGTAACTAAGCCTGAGTGTCACAGCTACAGAGCCCACGCTCTGCAACCAGGAAGTCCACATGCCCTAAAGCCTGAGATCCACAAGAGAAACCACCGCAATGGAAAGCCTTTGCACCGCAACTACAGAGTGATCCCCACTTGCTGCAACTAGAGGAAGTCCTCTCATAGGAACAAAGAACTAGCCAAAAATAATTCATTAATTTTAAAAATTTTTTTAAAAAGTCAAGAAAATTAATAAAAGCGGTCATCAATTCATAAAACATGCAGATACTAGTCTAACCTTACATAGGCATGAGGTGAGTGATATTTAATAAAAACTAATACTACATTAGTTTCCTTAGCATTTTACATTCCTTTCAAAGAATTACACTACCATTCATTTCACTACACAGGGGCTTCCCTGGTGGCTCAGTGGTAAAGAATCCACCTGCCAAAGAGGAAACACAGGTTCACTTGCTCCAAGAAAATCTCACATGCTACAGGGTAACTAAGCCCGAGTGTCACAGTTACAGAGCCCAGGCTCTGCAGCCAGGAAGTCCACATGCCCTAAAGCCGGAGATCCACAAGAGAAACCACCGCAATGGAAAGCCCTTGCACCGCAACTACAGAGTGATCCCCACTTGCTGCAACTAGAGGAAGTCCTCTCATAGGAACAAAGAACTAGCCAAAAATAATTCATTCATTTTAAAAATTAAAAAAAAAGTCAAGAAAATTAATAAAAGCGGTCATCAATTCATAAAACATGCAGATACTAGTCTAACCTTACATAGGCAAGAGGTGAGTGATATTTAATAAAAACTAATACTACGTTAGTTTCCTTAGCATTTTACAACATTCCTTTCAAAGAATTACACTACCATTCATTTCACTACACAGGGGCTTCCCTGGTGGCTCAGACTATAAAGAATCTGCCTGCAACGCAGGAGAACCAGGTTGGATCCCTAGGTCGAGAAGATTCCCTGGAGAAGGAAACGGCTACCCACTCCAATATTCTTGCCATGGACAGAGGAGCCTTGTGGCTACAAAGAGTCAGATACGACTGAGTGACTAACACTTATGCCTCTCTCCTGTATTTGGAAAAACTATTCATAAGCATATTATCACAGGTAAGTGATTTTTTTTTAATGCAACAATGTTTCCAATAGTGTACTTGCCCTAAGTATAGGCTAGGTTACTGTGAAGAAATGACAATCACAGGAGACTACTATAAGGAATCATATTGCTGCTGCTTTATCATCAATGCATGGATTATAAAACCCATACATAAATATGAACTTCTTCACAATTTTTTTCATTTCTGATGTCTAGTGTTAGTAATACACAAATCCACTGGATCATAGAAAAAGCAAGAGAATTCCAGGAAAAACATCTTACTTCTCTCCATTGATTATGCTAAAGTCTTTGACTGTGTGTATCACAATACACTATGGAAAATTCCTAAAGAGATGGGAATACCAGACCACCTTACCTGTCTCCTACAAAACCTGTATGCAGGTCAAGAATCAACAGTTAGAACCGGACATAGAACAATGGACTGGTTTCAGATTGGGAAAGGAATATGTCAAGGCTATATATTTTCACCCTACTTGTTTAAGTTATATGTGGATTACATCATGAGAAATGCTGGGCTGAATGAAGCACAAGCTGGATCAAGATTACTGGGAGAAATATGAATAACCTCAGATATACAGATGACACCATCCTTATGGCACAAAGCGAAGAGGAACTGAAGCACCTCTTGAGAAAGTGAAAGAGGAAACTGAAAAAGTTGGCTTAAAACTCAACATTCAAAAAACAAAGATCATGGCATCCAGTCTCATCACTTCATGGCAAATAGATGTGGAAATAATGGAAACAGTGACAGACTGTATTTTCTTGGGCTCCATAATCACTATGGATGGTGACATGAGTTTGAGCCAACTCTGGGAGATGGTGACAGACAGGGAAGCCTGGCGTGCTGCAGTTTGGAACCAGCCCGTTAGTTCATGTCTGGTTCTAACTGTTGTTTCTTGACCTGCATACAGGTTTCGCAGGAGGCAGGTAAGATGGTCTGGTATTCCCATCTCTTTAAGAATTTTCCAGTTTGTTGGAATCCATACCTGCAGAGGTTCACAGATGTTCTGCAGCCTTCCCTGGACCAGACCAGACTGTGTGTCTATGGGAACAGTCACAGTATTGAGAACTCAGAGTCAAGGAAGGGGTGGCTGGCTTCTCTCACAGGAAGTAAAGCCCAAGGTGTGGCCTCAGAGGCTTTAATTTTTGGACACTGACTGGCAAAACACGCACCAACAGCAACACATTTCTGCTCCTTACAACCTTTTCTACAAATTTCTCACATAAGGATCCAGGACCGCAAGAAATTTTATCATGTGTGACCCTCTAGCTGTTGTTCTTTTAAATGGTATGAGGGCAATGACTAGACTAAGTATCAAATGTTTTCTACCCTCAAACATTTAAAACTCTGAATTGAAAATGAACTTGCAAAAATTAATAACTGATTTAGAAAAAGATCCAAAAAAAAAAGAAAAAGATCCACCAAGTTCAAAAACTGAATAATGTGATTTAAAATTCTTTGAATGTTCTTTATAATTAACTACTCAAATAGAAATGCAACACTAACAGAGCCATTTACTTGCAAGTATAATAACATTTCACCAGTGGAGATCAATGAAGTTATCACTGCACTGGCACTATTAGCACCAGCAAATATTACATACGAAATTATACTCTTTATCTAATTAGGATTTGATAAATTGTTGTTCCATAAAACACAGCTAACTGTATTCTAATGTATACCCTTTAGGGCTGAAATAGCAGCAAGCTCTACAAATAATGGTAACAACAGCAAATCTTATTTTCTTGTGCAATCTCTTGATATTGGGTGAAAAGGAATAAGATTTCTTAAGTTCAACCTAACCAAACACAGAAATCACCAAAACAGCATCTAAAACTCATTTTCTCAAGTTTACTAGTTAAGTTTCATTTACATTTTTGTATAAATTTATACTGGCTTCTGAACAAGAATGACTCCCATCCCATTAACATTCTAACCATACATAACAGCAAAAACCGACATTTAGACAATTAAAAATTTAATAGATCGAAGACAACTATCATCAAAAACCATGTCCATCGTAACACATTTTTAGTTTTTTAAAACCATTTACCAAGCTTGGTGGAAAATCAAATTTGCTACCTTCTAAAAGTTATTAAAGTAGAAGTCCCACTAAAATAGTACAGCAACAGAAGAGACTGATACCAGTTGGCAAGGCTTTAGTACAGTTTATTAAGCACTAAGGTACTAGGGTCATAAACTGGAGACAGAATACAGAAAGAAACCACACCAAGGGACTGTGGAAGGTTTAACAAACAATACATATAAATATATATTTATAAAGTAAGTATCACTGTACTTAACTGAGATCAACCCAGCAAGTGTCCTACAAATTTCAAAGCTTTAGACTTCAGGATGAGAAAGAATCCACGGCCCCAGAGCTCAGCAAGGCTAACTACACACACAGCCTGAAAAAGGCTAGGTAAGGCTAGCAAAAACAATGTCCAGGAAGCAGGTGTCAGAGAAG